GTCTTTGCGGCATGTAATTACTTTCCCTTTGCTCCATTTCATTTCCCTCGAGCACCAGCTTGGAGGAGAAGGGGAAAAATGCATTTTCAGCACACACCGGAGTTCTCCTGAAGCCACGCAGAGCCTGAGATGGGAAAAGGCAGCCCCCCTTTCCCACCCGCAGAAGGTGTGTAGATTAGATTTTTACTTCCCTCGTTGATCGTTGGTGTATTGCTGGCTGCCCAGAATTGGATGTAGTAATAGCAAACCTGGAAGCGGGAGGGAAATCGGTTAATAAACCGGTGTTTGGAAGTGACCTGGAAAATGGGAGGTCTCCAAGAAAAGGGGGTCTGGCTGGGAGTGGAATTAGAGGAGACAGCTGTTTAACTGAGTCTGGGATTATCAGGCTTCCAGGATTCATATGTAATCATCAGCTTCTTAGATTTCCTTACCGCCTCCCCCTCCCTTTCCTCCGCCTCTCTTTCGGGTCTCTTACGGAGTTTGGGAGGGAGATTTGCTAGATTTGCTTCTCAATTCCTTGAGAATCAGATGGGGATGGAATCCCCCACCACCTCTCCCGCACTGGAATAAGAAGATGGCCAATCGGCTTGAATCGGAAAGCGTCCAATCTCATTTGATATAGGGATGAAGAGGGGAGAAGAGAATTAAAGAAAGGGAATTATAATGATCCAGATGCAGGGATTCGAAGATGATCCCCCAAGCCCATGGCAGCTTGGATGTGGCTTAGTTGCTCTGTAACCCATCTGCATGGATTCCTTTAAAAATAACAGACTTGAGGCCGTTTCTGTCCATTCTTAGGAGAGAACTGTACCATTACATTCAAGAAGTGATGAATAAAGTATAAGATATGAGGTTCTGGCCTCAGTGTGGTGGCAGCTGGCAGTTTCCACATCAGAGAGATGGTACATCTGCTCCTGGATTTAGTTTGAACTGAGACCTCGCTCCCAAAATTGGTTGAGCACATCAGATAAATCATTTAACATTTGGAATACAAGAGCAGATTAACTACCCTGCTGGAATGGAACCAACAATTTTTAACAAGTCTTTCAATGGAACTGTTCCGATCGGGAATAACTAGTTTGTCTGAATGCATCTTTCCTTAGGAACCTTCTAGGACTTTAAGATGGTCTGGGGAGGCCCTGCTCTCGATCCCGCCTAAGTCACAAGTACGTCATGAGGTGAGAGACAGGGCCTTCTCAATGGTGGCCCCTCAGCTATGGAACGCCCTCCCTAGGGATATCAGATTGGCCCCCTCCCTTCTAACATTCTGGAAAAGAGTCAAGACTTGGGTTGTGGTAGGTTTTTTCAGGCTATTTGGCCATGGTCTAGAGCAGTGGTTCTCAACCTTCCTTGTGCTGCGACCCCTTAATACAATTCAGCATGTTGTGGTGACCCCCAACTATAAAATTATTTTCCTTCCTACTTCATAAGTGTCATTTTGCTACTGTATCAATCGTAATGTAACTATCTGATATGCAGGATGTATTTTCATTCACTGGACCAAATTTGGCACAAATATCCAATATGCCCAAATTTGAATACTGGTGGGTTTGGGGGGGGGGGAGGTTGATTTTGTCATTTGGGAGTTGTAGTTGCTGGGATTTATAGTTCACCTGTAATCAAAGAGCATTCTGAACTCTACCAACAATGGATTTGGGCCAAACTTGGCACACAGAAAATACTGGAGGGGTGGGTGGTCATTGACCTTGAGTTTTGGAGTTGTAGTTCACCTACATCCAGAGACCACTGTGGACTCAAACAATGATGGATCTGGACTAAACTTGGCATGAATACTCAATATCCCCAAATATGAGTCTGGGGAAAATAGACCTTGATATTTTGGGAGTTGTAGTTGCTGGAATTTATAGTTCACCTGCAATCAAAGAGCATTCTGAACCCCACCACTGATCGAATTGGGACACATTTCCCACATAGAACCCCCATGGCCAACAGAAAATACTGTTTTCTGATGGTCTTTAGGGACCCCTCTGACACTCCCCTGTGACTCCTTCAGGAGTCCCGACCCCCAGGTTGAGAACCACTGGTCTAGAGGCATTCTCTCCTGATGTTTCACCTGCATCTATGGCAAGCATCCACAGAGGTAGTGAGGTCTGTTGGTAGTGAGGTCAGTTCCAACAGACCTCACTACCTCTGAGGATGCTTGCCATAGATGCAGGCAAAACATCAGGAGAGAATGCCTCTAGACCATGGCCATACAGCCCGAAAAAACCTACAACAACCCAGTGATTCCGGCCATGAAAGCCTTCGACGATACAGTCAAGACTTGGCTTTTTGAGCAGGTGTTTGCAAACACAGTGGAAGAGACATAGGAAAATGGAATGGTTGGACGATGTGATTGGACAATGTTTTAACAAGGAGACCCTAATGATACATGTTTTATTGACATTAATAATGATTTTATTGATTTTGTTATAGTTTTATATTATCTGACTGTTTTTATTGTAATTGTACTTTATGGTCTTGGTACCGACTGTAAACCACCCCGAGTCACCTGCAGGCTGAGAGGAACGGTATAGAAATATAGTAAATAAATAAATAAACAAACAAACACGAATCAAGGAACATGAAAGGCACTGCAGACTCCTTCAACCAGAGAAGTCAGCCATAGCAGAGCACCTGATGAACCAACCTGGACACAGCATATTATTTGAGAACACAGAAATGCTGGACCACTCTCACAACCACCATGTCAGACTACACCGAGAAGCCACTGAAATACACAAGCATGTGGACAATTTCAACAGAAAGGAGGAAACCATGAAAATGAACAAAATCTGGCTACCAGTATTAAAACACTCTAAAATTACAACAGCACAACAACAGAGAGGAAACAAATAAGGGCATCTAATCACCTCTCAACAAAAGTTTGCTCTAAGCAGTGTCAGGCATTATATGCTAATCAAGGTGGTCAGTTGAAACATTCACACCTAGCTCCAGCAGACAAGAGTCCTTTGTCCCACCCTGGTCATTCCACAGATATATAAACCCTTATTCCTAGTTCCAACAGACCTCACAACCTCTGAGGATGCTTGCCATAGATGCAGGCGAAATGTCAGGAGCGAATGCCTCTAGACCATGGCCATATAGCCCGAAAAAACCTACAACAACCCAAATAAATAATAGTTGCCTACTTTCAAGCTGATTTACTTTGTAATGAACTAAAATGGAAATAATTGAGACAAGACCATCTTTGTACCATTCAAATCAGCAAGACTCATGGTCTTCTACAGGATACCTACAAGACCCATGATCCTCAATGGTGAAGCTATACATTCCAAGATCCTCAAGAGGTCCTATCTCCTCCTGTCCTTTTTAGCTAGGAATAGACATCATCATCATCATCATCATCATCATCATCATCATCATCATCATTATTACCCCACCACCATCTCCCCAAAGGGACTTGGGGCGCCTAACGTGAGGCCAAGCTCAAGTAATTACAATAAGGCAAAATAAAATGCATACAAAATAAACAATAACATCAAATAAAATGCTTAACAATAACATAGTAATGCAATAAAATAGTGACAATAACATAAGAATACAAAATATAAAATGATATAAGAATTAACCAAAGACGAGCTGAGCCAAATGTGAAGGGTAAAGTTGTAAAACGCATGGGTGAGATAGAGAGATAGAGAGATAGCGAGATAGCGAGATAGAGAGATAGAGAGATAGAGAGATAGAGAGAGGGATAGATAGAGAGAGGGATAGATAGATAGGGATAGATAGATAGCTGTGTCTAGTGGGAGATTTGGGTGGGATAAACAATGAGGTTAATCTCCACTGAGAGATGAGATAAAGTGCATCAGAAAGACAAATTGGTACTGGGATGGGGCATGGTATGGGAATTAGTTGTTCCTTCCTCAAAAGCACAGTGGAAAAGCCAAGTTTTAAAACTTTTCCTAAAGGCTGCCAGGGTGGCTGCTTGCCCAATCTCCCTGGGGAGCGAGTTCCAGAATCAAGGGACCACCACAGAGAAGGCCGTCTCTCTTGTCCCCACAAGCTGCGCTTGTGACAGAGGCAGGAGCGAGAGGAGGGCCTCCCCCAAAGATCGAAGAGATTGCACAGGTTCGTAGGAGGAAATGCAATCATGAAGGTAGGCGGATCCCAAACTGTTCAGGGCTTTGTAGGTGATAATCTGCACCTTAAATTGGGATCGGAAAATGAACGGCAGCCAACGGAGCTCCTTAAACAGGAAGGTAGACTGCTCCCTGTAATTTGCTCCAGTTAACAGTCTGGCTGCCAATCATTGGACCAACTGAAGTTTCCGGGGCGTCTTCAAGGGCAGCCCCACATAGAGTGCATTGCAATAATCCAATCTAGAGATAACTAAGGCATGGACCACTGTGGCCAGATCAGACTTCACAAGGTACGGTTGCAGCTGGCACATGAGTTTTAGTTGTACGAAGGCCCTCCCAGCCACTCACACCTGCGCATCAAGCGTCAACGCTGAATCCAGAAAGACCCCCTGGATTTCAGATCATCTCACGTAAAACCCAGAGACCTTTCTGCCTATTGCTACTCCATTTTCCAAACTCCTCACTTCCACATATGCTTCAACCCTTTGAGTTTTTCAAGTGACCCTATGAACTGTTCCAAACGTAGAATGAGCCAAGAGAAGATTATACCACTGTAACGAGTTGATTTGATGGACCTGGTCAATTCAATACTCAGTTCAGTCAGAGGAAATAGTTCCAGTGCAGCTTGTAAGTGTCCTGTGCTATCAACCAACATTGATGGCACCCAAATTGCTTCTATCTAGAAGCACCTTATAACCTCTTCAACATCATGTTGAAATCAATAAAGCCGACTCTGCACTTGAGAGAACAATCAAGACCCATCTGAACCCACGCAACTGTGTTGTCAACACGCTCAGCCTCGGCCAAATTCAAAGCCTTCTGATTTTAGACAGAAAATAAAAATGAACTCAATCTGGACTTGACTGACAAGATATCAACAGAAGCCATGAAGCTCACCTGTTTCTCAGACATGATGTACAGATACTTGTGATCCACGGAGAAGGCCATGTCTCGCAAAACGGGACCGGAATCCACCACTTGAACGATCTCATACTCAAGGGCACCTTTGACGACACCATCTACGCGAATCTGTAAAATCAAAAGAGAAGCAATTAGACAAAGAACTCTAATATAGTAATACCATATATTTTTCTGTAATAGCTAGAGTTGACAGACAATTATAGGGAAACAAATTGCTCATATAAATAACCATTCTTTCATTACCTAGATATATGATGTTATCAACTGATGGATGAAGACAGAGAGAGATGGTTCAGAGGTTCAGGATAGCATACAAGGATCTCCATCTCATCATATTTTACCAACGTAACCTTATGAAGCAAGCTTGCAAAGGCAGTAACTGGTCCAATTCCAACCAAGAATGGAGTGGAGGAGTGAAACCCTCAAATTGTGTATTTTATTATTTATTTCAAATATTTTTACCCCGCCCTTCTCAACCCCTGGGGGGGGGACTCAGGGCGGCTTACAATTGGCAATAATTCAATGCCGCATCATAAATATAGAATAACAAATATAACAATTAAACATGAACATTAATAAATAAAGATTAAAACAGTATACTTACACTCTGATTAGCTATTGCCTGTCGGGTGGCTGTTTAGCTAGCTATCTACTAATGATTACTCCGCTTAACTTATCCAAATCCTCTTCCATGCCATAGTCAACATTATCAATTGTCCTTTAACCTGATTGCCTGAAGGCCTGGTCCCACAGTCACGTTTTAACCWTTTTTGTAAAGGTCAGGAGGGATGACYATGACCTAATTTCCCCYGGGAGSAAATTCCACAGGTGGGGGGCCACCACCYAGAAGGCCCTGTCCCCTGTCCCCGCCAAGCATGTTTGAGARAAAGGTAGGGCCGAGAGCAGGGCCTCCCCAGATGATCTTAAGATCCGAGGTGGGACGTAGAAGGAGATATGTTCAGACAGGTATGCTGGACCGGAGCCYTATAGGGTTTTATAGGTCAAGACCAGCACMTTGAATTGTGCTCYGAATTGGATCGGCAGCCAGTGGAGCTGGCACAGCAGGGGGGTGGTATGCTCCCTGTATGACACTCCGGTGAGTAATCTAGCTACCGTCCGTTCGATTAATTGCAATTTCCGAACAGTCTTCAAAGGCAACCCCACATAGAGCGTGTTGCAGTAATCTATTCGGGATGTGACAAGAGCGTGGACCACCATAGCCAGATCCGACTTCCCAAGGTATGGGCGCAGCTGGTGCATGAGTTTTAACTGTGTATTCCCAGTTCTGTTCTTGCTACTGTTCCACCCAACCACTCACAAAGTTGAGTCAACTGAATGCTTCCCAGAAGAGGAATTCTTGGCCTGCCTTTTACATTGAATTGAATAACTTTATTGTCATTGTACTACTGCACAACAAAATTAAATGCTTTCCCCAGCACGCACCACAAAGCAGCACACCCATTCCTCTACACCTCAACCACCACCGCATAGCCCCCAATGCCACATCAATGTGAAACTATGGAGTTCAATATAGTTACAGCTCTAGAATAAAAGCTATCTCCCAGTCTGTTTGTTCTTGTCTTTGTCACCCTGTGCCATCTGTCAGATGGCAATAATTCAAAAATAGATTATGCCAGGTGAGATGGATCCCCAAGAATGCTCAGAGTTTTGTCGAGGCTGTGGTACCTATAAAGTTCTTCCAAAGGCAGTTCTCTGCTGGGAAGGCATTCTGCAGACGCATCCCTGAGAAGATTCTTTTTTCTGGTTAACTACCTTTTGCACCACTGTGAGCAATGTAATAGCTATTGAAGATCTCAAACATAATCTTAAGCATTAGACAGGAAGCTATGAGAGCAGGTTTTCTCTTAGGCTGATTGGTCTTAAGTGAACATTAAGTATGGTATTCGGGTATGGTATGTATCAACAATAAGATATGGTGGCCATATATTATTTCCAGCACCATTTGCTTGGGAACATAGAATCATAGAATCAAAGAGTTGGAAGAAACCTCGTGGGCCATCCAGTTCAACCCCCTGCCAAGAAGCAGGAATATTGCATTTAAATCACCCCTGACAGATGGCCATCCAGCCTCTGTCAGGGCCTCCAAAGAAGGAGCCTCCACCACACTCCAGGGCAGAGAGTTCCACTGCTGAACGGCTCTCACAGTCAGGAAATTCTTTCTCATGTTCAGATGGAATTTCCTTTCTTGTAGTTTGAAGCCATTGTTCCGCGTCCTAGTCTCCAGGGAAGCAGAAAACAAGTTTGCTCCCTCCTCCCTGTGACTTCCTCTCACATATTTATACATGGCTATCATATCTCCTCTCAGCCTTCTCTTTACTTCAGGCTAAACATGTCCAGCTCCTTAAGCCGCTCTTCATAGGGCTTGTTCTCCAGACCCTTGATCATTTGAGTCACCCTCCTCTGGACATATTCCAACTTGTCAATATCTCTCTTGAGTTGTGGTGCCCGGAATTGGACACAATATTCCAGGTGTGGTCTGACCAAAGCGGAATAGAGCATGGGGAACATGACTTCCCTAGATCTAGACACTATGCTCCTATTGATGCAGGACAAAATCCCATTGGCTTTTTTTTTGCTGCCAATGCTGCCATCACATTGTTGGCTCATGTTTAACTTGTTGTCCACAAGGACTCCAAGATCTTTTTCACAAGTACTGCTCTCGAGCCAGGCATCGTCCCCCATTCTGTATCTATGATCTGGAGGGTACTATTGTGTGTATCTTCTGTGTGTATCTGATGAAGCATCCCGCTTCTGTTCCAATGTTAACAAAAGCTAGAAAAGACAGTTCTCTATGAGGCTATGTATGACTTTTAGGATCAGAGGCTGCATGTCTACCAAGCGTAGTGGAACATAGACAGCACCATGTTTGTGAGCTCCTCGTGGGTGGGTTAAAGAGATACTGGTCACATTAGCTTCTGGCCTCCCATCAATAGTATATAGCTCTTCTTACACTGGTAGCAGTGGTAGATGTTGGGAAGACTGTAATAGGAGCCATCCTTGATGCAAAACCTATATGTATATAATATATTGCATATTCATATAATATTTATAATATTATAATGTAATACAATATAATTCTAATAATAACATGATATTATAATTATATAATGCATATTAAATGTAATATTACTAATAATACTACAATATAATGGTATAGTACAATATAGTAATATATAATACTGATATTGTATTATAAATACAAAATATATTGTATGTGTATATATCTTGTAAGCCGCTCTGAGTCCCCTTCGGGGTGAGAAGGTCGGCATATAAATGTCGTAAATAAATAAATAAATATTTGGGGGGGGGGGGTGAGGTACAATGCTTTGGACTGGTGCTTTCAAGTTCAAATTAAAGCCTTGTGTGGATTTGCTGTTTCACTGCCTTTGAAGACACCTCCCTGAACTGTTTTTTCCCTTTACATCTGAACATCCCCTGTCCCTTTCCCTTCTCCTGCCTTTGATAATGCATATCTATCAATCATCTCAAGCAGGGGGCATTTCTGTAATCTACATTCCCACACCATATTATGTCATGAGGATGAGAAGGACAAACTTGGAAAATCTACCAAACTGGAATCCCCAAATCCCTAAAATTTAGCAGTCCTCAAATTTTGAATTTCAGCTTCCAGAAGAGAGAACAAGCTTCACCAATATTCAGGGATGCAGGGAGCTAAACTTCAAAACAACTGGAGAGCAGTTAGAGAACCTATGGGCAGTTTTTAAAGGAGCTATTGAGAGTGCTGAACTGTACTTCCAAACCAGGTCTAGAACCTTGGATAGCTCCCTGGTGCTGGAGTTTATGCACTTCAGAATTGTCTCATGAGTTGTGAGATATATGGATCTGTATTGTAATTGCAAGACAAGAAAATCAGCTGTACACAGTGTGTGTGTGTGTGTGTTTTCACACCCACAAATGAATCCAACCAACCGGCACTTCCACCCTCCCAGCCCAAGCCAATCTGGCAGCCCTGTAGGATCCTGACATAACGACATTAATTCTACATCCCCGGAGCCTCGTGCCATTCATTTTTATTCTGCCAGGCAGGTTGCTCTGAAAAACAGCCGCCCTGCGCTCTGCAAAGGTCAACCATCAGAGGGACCCTCCTGGCAGCTGTTTGTTTGTTTGTTCGAACATTATCCGGACTGGCGGTTGTATTTATATCCACTGAAGTATCAAGACAATTAATATCCTCTCCCAGTAGCAAACAGATGCTTCGCGTTCAAGTGTTCCTGCCTCAGCCAAGCTCGGAATGATCTCCTTAATGAGCAAACAATACCATTAATCTTTAAAGATGCAGGCACCATCCACTCTGCCTCCATCTAGCAAGGCAAAGGATATTTTGGCCAAGGGGATCCAACCTGATGGGAAGCGTAAGCTCAGGGGAACACAATCAAAGGGTTTGGGGTTAACAGGGCAAAGTCAAGGGGACTCACAATCTTTAGCATCAAAGTCGACTCTTTGGGGGGAAAAATAATATAGATTGTTCCATCCTCATTCCCAATTTCACAAATGCAGCTGACCTCAATTCATCCATGTATTCTTGTTCCTATTATTTATCCTCATATATCCTACTTTTTCCACTAAATTTAGGGCATTATAAAAAAGTAAAACAAATACCGTTGGCCCTCCATATCCATGGATTTCTCAGTCCCAGATGCAATACTCCATGACTTAAAATAACTTTATATTTTACTAGCTTGGGGACCCGGTGGTGCCCGGGTTATTTTAGAAGGCACTGTTTGTTTTGTGAAGTTTGGTAATGTGTAATGCTATGCATTAGGAAAAAAAGTCTTCTTTTTTTGTTTTTTAACTAATGCTCCCATTAGAAAATGCGTAAGGATGTGAGTGAACTACAATTTCCAGAATTGTGGGTCAGTCATTCCCAAACCCTGCCATTACTTAAAGTTGGCCATGTTGGATCTGTGTGCCAAGTGTGGTCCAGATCCGGCAGCAGCTGAGTTCAGTGATATCTAGGTAAGGGTGAACTACAACTTCCAGATTCCCAGGGCAATCACCCACAAGCTCAGCCAGTATGTACAATTGGCCATGTTTGTTCTGTGTGCCAAGTTTGGTCTTGATCCATT